GAATAGAATGACAATTATTATACAGATTTTTTTCTTACCTAAGGCATTATTATTAAGTTAATTTTCACAAATCAAATACTCGTATTAATATAAAGTACCTGGATCACCGAGCTTTACTCGGTTTTTTTTTTTAAATTGTGTTTTTTGGAAATTATATTTAAGTACGAATTACTATTAAAATGATGAAATATGAATAATATTTTTCGATCTTACCGATAGAAAAAGTTAATTTTATGTTTAAGCTGATTATCGATAAAACACGAATAAAATGACATTTTCTTAAAATGATTCCTAGCTAGATCGATTTATCGCCCCGAAACCCCCTATATACTAAATTTTATGAAAATCGTTGGAGCCGATTCCGAGATTCCAATATACATAATATATGTATATAAGAATTGCTCATTTAAAGATATAAGATAAGATAAGATATTGAGATTAAATTCAGCAACTTATAAGTTATAATACACTTTTCAATATTAAATTTTAGAAAATGATATTAGATGAGCAATGGATTAAATATGTCAAATAAATTCCGTCCAATAACTATTGCAAAGTGTTTCTATAGGTATACCAAATTTATAAATTATTCAGAAGGGTCGTTTAATTTGATAGGACTCTTTTTATTGAAGTTAAAAATGTAACGAGTTATTTCGGTACGTGAATACGTATGAATGTCAACTTTACTAAAATTATAATACGAGTTACATAAGTGAAGTGTTTTTCTCTGGATTATTCATACATAGGAAAGTTGTTTAATAAAGAAAAATCATCATCAGCTCATTATACGTCCACAACAAGGGGCTCGGAGCCTACCCTAAGTTAAGGGTGATTAGGCCATAGTCGACCACGCTGGCCAAGTGCGGGTTTGTTGACTTCACACATATCTTTGAATTTCTTCTCAGATATGTGCAGTACGTCGGATAAATGTACATATGTAAATCGAAAATCGAATAACACATTGGTACACGGCGGGATTCGAACCCAGGACCTGCAGATTGCAAGTGAAGTGCTTGACCCCTGAGCCACCGACGCTCAAGAAAAAAAATCAATAAGCATGAATATACACAATAGGATCGAAACCTTACTCGCAATTTAGCTCTTTAGACTCCCGGATAACAATACAAAATAACTAGAAAGAAGATAACAACAAGAAAACGCTGAAAAATGTTTTTATTTTACGATTTGTGGATGTTCAACATATCTCTATATTTTTAATGGTTATTGCTGTTTTAAAAGCCTAAAGATAATCTGGTACTAGTGGTCGCCTGCGACTTCGTCATCACAGAATTTAAAAAGCCTATGATATGACCGCGGCCTTGCGGACAGACATACATATAAAGAGATGAAAAAAATTAAAAATTATATCAGATACGCAAATAAGTCACGTGTATGAAATAAGATTATTGTTCTCGTATTACATACAGACACTCCAATTATATAAATACTAGCTGTCGCCCGCGACTCCGTCCGCGCGGGATTAAAAATAGATATTGGCCGATTCTCAGACCTACTCAATATGCTCACAAAATTTCATGAGAATCGGTCAGGCCGTTTCGGAGGAGTATGGGAACGAAAATTGTGACACGAGAATTTTATATATAAGATGTATGTATGTATGTTTGGCTGCTACAGCAAATTCGAATGTTAACCAATACGAATGCACGGGTGACCATTATTTGTGGTTAAAACTCGGAGCAGTCGACAACTAGTAATTACGAGAACAATGTTTCATGCAAGCTTGAATTTCTCGTTAACAAACTATGTGACTTCGTATTAATTGTAGTACTTTGACCATTATGACAATAATGACAGTCCTTTCTTGTGTTTAATTGTTATTCCTTTTTTTCTCTTACAAAAGACAGAGACAAACATATGTTTTGTATAAATGGTGACAGAGAAATCTTATAGACTCATCTTACAAAGAGAAGTGTTCGTATATGACAATTATTTCTCGTGTAATGTCTACAAAAAAAAATAAACAAATAAATATTGTAACTAAAAAAATTGTTAAAGATCACTGATGTACTCTTTCGTCTTCACGAAAACCACTTTAGTGAGTCACTAGTAATTCTAAATCTATACGTTTTTGGTGGAAATTTATTTATACAAAGTAAAAGATTTTTACGTTTTGTTATTTCTCGCACGTTTTCGGTCTCAACGTAAATAAACCTAGCGTTCTGTAGACGCTACATTTAACATACAACCGCAGAAATATGAATGGAAAGTATTTTTATTACGAAATACTTTCCTCGTATTCTTCCCGGTACATTTTGCATAGCAACACCGGAGAAAACTCATTGTCTATGAAAAAGAAACTATAAAACTTTTCATGTTTGCAGTACTTGTGGTAAAATTAAAAATAGAAACTATTGTTAAATATGTATGTAAACAAAAACACTTGATATTTACTTAATATTAAATAGAGAAAATGTTCTGTTTGTTCATAACGGCTAACCTCTAAAACTTATCACGGGATATGATAGCAAATATTATCAGATCTGTGTTATTATGTGGGCATGAATAACTAGACATTTCAAAACAACTTCAGTTTAGTAATTCTAAAAAAAACATTACTTCTACCTATTTGGGGTAAACAACCTACTAGGTTTTTTATGCGTAGATCTTACTAATATTATAAATGCGTTCCTTGTGCGTACCGCAAAGGATTAGAACAAGTTGCCAGCCTCTGTTTTTCCGTCCAAATATGATATTGGGACCTTCAAAAGTAGAGTGAATAGGCACTTACTAAGCTAGCGCATACCATCTTTAGACCAAATCTCCACTTCACCAGGTGGGATCGTGGTCAAGCGCTAGCTTGTAAAACGTAAAAAAAATGCGAAAATTTGGATGTATGGATAGATGTTTGTTAGAAGGTATATCCAGAACGTTTCAACTGATCTCGATTAAATTCCGCAAAGTTGCAGAACATAGTCTGGACAAACACATAGGTACTAAGTTTAATTTAGAAAAGAAAAAGGGTGTGTCAGAACTACGCCAAACAATGGTCCGTAGTCTCTGTCTATCTCTGAGTTATGTCGTGATTTATGTTGTAGAAACGATATGTAATTCTAGTGTTTTACTGATAAGAAACTACGGCAATTAAAATAATAGTACAAAGTTATACCAATTAATTTTAAAGTTGTTAATTTTTGATTACTAATCTAAACTAATCCGAGAAGAATATTATTTCATACGTTAAAACTCTTAAACAATAACATTTTATATGTACATATGTACGTAAAATCAAGAATACATTATTATGTACTATGTGTTTGAGGTTATAAAACTTCATACAGCGTCATTAAAAACGTATAATGTGAGCATAAAGTTTCCGTTTCGTGTCAAAACATTAATAACCATTGCAATACACTGGCAACTTGCCAGATATGAAATTGACATTGCATTTGAAATATTTTTTTTTAATCTTAATCCGTAATAAATCTTTTACCTATGTCTTTTTACTAAATCAAGGAAAATAAAATAATTAAAAGGTGTACTTACTAATATTATAAATGCGAATGTTTAGATATATGGATGGATAGACGAATGAGTGAAGATATCCAGAAGGCTGTATGGATCTCGCTGAAATTTGGCATAGATATCGATTATAGTGGAAGAACACACACTAACTAGCCTACTTATTAATTTTTTTTTTAATTCCACGCGGACAGAGTCGCGGGCGACACCTAGTAATATAAAAAAATTACTACATGTTGTAAACAAAAGTCTTCATCGATGTATAAGCTAATAAGCAGATATCATACGGTTTTTCCTTTACTGAGTGATTCATGAGAAGTGACGCATAAGCGAGGAAAATATTTGCTTTCTTTACGTCCTCCATCGATTAAAGGTAGGCAACGCATCTGCAATTGCGAATGACTATGGCCGCTTGCTAGTTTGTATGTGACATAAAAAGTTTATTCAGATTCAAAATGAAGACAGTTTTTAAAGAACTACACTAGTCTGCACCTATATTAAGACAGCAGTAAGTATTTTAGCGTAACCAATATGGCGTTATAAAGTAAGGGCGTTATAGGATTAGCACTTTATAGTAAAAGGTTCGTCGCTTTAAATCTAATTGGTAATTTACTAATTTATTACATATTTTTATTCAAAGTTATTTTATTTTCAAATAGCTGTCATCCGCGGCTCTGTCTGGGTAGGAATTTAAAAAAAATCTTAAATAATAGTCTATGCATTCTTGCAGGCAATGTTCTATATGTGCCAAACAGCGAAATCTATGCTGTTCTAGAGATACATTCAAACAAACATCCATCCATCAAAACATTCGCATTTATAAAGTAAGTTTGAAATACGGTTAAGGGCAGTTTTACATGTAAGAAGAAACATTGTTGTCTAAAATTTTATAATAAAATTCTCATATCACAATTTTCGTTCCCATACACCTCCGAAACGGCTTCACCGATTCTCATGAAATTTTGTGAGCATATTGAGTAGATCTGAATCGGCCAACATCTATTTTTAAAACCGCGCGGACGGAGTCGCGGGCGACAGCTAGTCATTTTTATAAAACTAAAGATTTTGTTATCAATGACCATGACCTTTTGATACTTTTCAACGTACTTCAGTGTAAAGTGACTGAGTTCGAAATTGTGAATTAAAATATGGATTCGTAACTTTTCTTTAATTGTAGAGTCTTATAAATAATTAATTTTTATTTATTTTTAATGGGGAATAAAAGTTAAAAAATAATTTTGTATCAAGAAAATTTGACGTACTTTTGGCAACTAAATAAATATATATAGAAATATCTTATTCTTTAAGATTCAGATTTAAGAGCAATAAAAACATTTATTCGATATAAGTAATGTTTTATATTTATAAATATATGAAAATAAAAAGCAATATTGAACAGAGGAAACATTCATAAATTACGGAAGTCCATTTGCATACCGCGGTGTATTTCCGCCTCTGTATCTGTCAACGTTACAATAAATCACAGGCCATTTATAACGTTCATTAGCGATAGAACTCACCTGAAAAAAAAATCTTCTAACAGCTTACAATTATTCACTTCACAAAAACTAAATCACTTTTAAATAGTTTTTATTTTATAGCCAAAAATATAAACTACATAAAACTAACACTTAAGAAATTAATCATAATTAAGTTTTAAATATATAAATTAAATAATTGAACACATCGCTTATAATTTAATATAATATTTATAATTCGCGTTCAATCACGGAGCAACTGGCACACGTCCACTCTTCACCGCGACTAAAGCTCGACTCACGACGATTCAGTGAAGCCTCAAACGCTGAAAGTTTATACGTGCAACAAGTACTTATGTGTTCCCAAATTTTGTTATACGACTACATAGGCTTTCCAGACTGAAACTGTTGTTATTTACTCGTAGCTATTCGTTATAAATAATTACCATTTCAAAATACAATATATATATAACAATAGAATAGTTGTCATGTTAAGAAAGAGTAATTAGTTAAAAAGGTACTAATAATTTACTTACTTCTTTTGTTCTTTTTAAAAAGCTTCATTTTAAAATAATATGTGCGGGTCAATGACCTTGATGTCTAAAGTCAAGTCAACCACTAGCCCAGAGTGGATTATTAGGCTTCACTATCAACCAGATCCCAGCGGTCAAGGTAGACTGCTGTAATTCACAGAAAACCCGGTAGGGGTTCACGATGGTGGGAAATGAAGCCTAGGGTACACATGTTGACAAAAAAATGTAGGGAAAAATACGAGAAAAAATCTACCATATCATCATCAACTTGCCCTTATCCCTACGGAGGCGCAGTATACTCCATACATCTCTATCAGCCGCCATATCTACATTCACCCCCTTCTTACGCATATCTTTCACACAATCCATCCATATTTTCTTTGGTTTTCTTCTACCTTAGCAGCCTTCTATATTCAAACAAAATCTACATAACTCTCTTATAATATTTTTAGAAATTAAACCGTTTTAATTGTTAAAATCCAATCGAAACTTTTAACCGGTGAGCATGACTCGGTCGCATTATATCGCATGGAAAATGCACCGAACGTTCGCCTCAATACAAAGTTTCCTCGACATCCGTATAGCTTTAAGTTTCAATTGCTTTAGCGGCGACTTTGTTGGCACGTGTTGGATATACTTTTTGCTTTAGGCTTTATTATTTCGTTCCGCAATTTCGAATTTAATAAAACTTACGCTGAGTATGACAGTCAGAAAGTCAAGCTATTAAATGCAAGCAGTTTAGTTTTTTACAAATATTTTTTTATTGATTGCAGGTTTCTTTAGCTATATCGTTGGCTGCTTATCGCCGGCTTATCGTTTACTACTCTGTGCTAGAAAAAAATAATTAATACGAGTTTTTTATGAAGCTAA